CTGTAATTAAGTTTTCTTTTTTGTCTTTCTTCCATCCCTTGTGACATGTATGAATTCCTTGAAAACGCTACTATCTCACCTCACCTTGTAACCGTTTGGCAAGTGAGCGTGCAAAGAGGACATTAGCCAGCTTGCTCTGTCCATAGGCTTTCATGGTATCATAACTCCTCTCGCTGTTGATGTCATCCAGCCGAAGCCCAGTCCAGGTGTGGGCCACCGATGCTACGATGACAATACGGGCAGGAGCTGAACGTTTGATGAGGTCCAGCAGCAGGTAAGTCAACAGGAAGTGACCTGAGGAAAGTCAAGAGGCATGCGCTTTCACCCTATTGTCTTGCGCTACAGAAGCAAATGCCACACCAATATAAATAAGTCACTACCACACACTGTAAAGGATTATTATGCCTCAGGGGGTCCACATGCAATATGATTGGCTGAGTTAAACATGCTTGACTTAATGTGACACGATTATCACCCCTTCCATTCCCATTTATAACCCATTTACTGAATGTGGTAGAATATTGCACAACAAGCCATGAATAGGAGGAGCCCCTTAAGACAAAATACTTTGGTGCATCTAATGGAGTGGTGCAAAGAGGAAGGAAGGACAAAGGAACTGTATTCTAGTAGTTGATACTTTTTATATCCAAATGCATCATTTGTTGTCATTTTCTCCTCTTAAAGTTGAGGGAATACATGTCATTCTGCCAAACAGAAACACAAAGCTTTGTACAAGCAACTCATAAAACACCCTACATAACCTGCTTTTTAATCAAAAAGAAGTTTACAGATAGCCTTGTGACATTTTGAGCTGCTGTAGAGGTAAAAGAACCACTCTGTGAGACATCACTGACTGTGCCAACAAGATCCTATCTAGAATCCTCATTAAGTTGTTCTGTATAAAAATAGTACTGTTGTTGCATCACCGGTCTTTTGGCTTGTACTGTGGTTCCGCAGTGCTCAACAGAGAGCTCTTCCTATTATTGTGCCCCCAAATCTTTTACATTTTACATCATGATGTAGCATTTCTGCATCTTTATTTTGTGGTGTACTTGTGATTCCATGTGACGCTGGAGTCACAAGTGCACAAGTGGTTGTTATTCATAGTCAACATACAGTAGCTCTTACTGTGTTGTTGATAAGAAGGTCATATCTTCCCCTCCCCTCCATACACAAACATCACAGGATGGATAACAGCCCATTGAAATGTCATTCTAGCTTATGGAGCTAACTTGGCAACCCCGTCATTCCTATCTTGATTGATGCTCTGAAAGTACAAGAGCTTTGCCTCAGCCTCATTGTGATCCGCATTAAAGGAAATCACCATGTGTTACAAGCAAGAAAGTTTACATAATGTCAGTAACGTTATCTGTGATCAACAACTTACAGTATCTAACATTATTCCTGCTGACGTGGTGAATACAGCCTCAGCCATATCTTGACACAAACTGAAACACTGAGAAATGTTTGCTGAATGATTTCTGTTTTAAAACATTAGAAGATGAAGTCTGATTTCTGTTTAGCAGACCCAGACACAGCCCTAAATGTTCACATGTGAACACTGAAGGAAACAGTATTTTTGCTTTCCTCACTATTGTTCTCTATTTCCTGTTCTACTGTTGACCCAACCTATTCAAGGTTGTATATGTATGTATAGATGTAAAGGATGTGTGGATGTGCAGGTATATATTCATATATGTGTGTGTGTGTGTGTGCGCACGCACATATGTGTGTGGGAGACTACGTTCGAGCACAGAGTGTTCTTCTCTCTGTCAGCCTGTGACAAAAATACCACTGAGGAAAAGACTATTTGGAAGGAAGCCATGGTCCAACACAGGGAAAACACTGTCAGCTTAAAGAAAACAGTAACTCTGGTTACATTCTCCTGCCTATGTTGGTCAGCTTGGCTGTACGTGTGTTGTACGGCTTGCTAATACCACTAAATACGGAAAAGCTATATTTTTTTTAACTTCTTTTTAGGCAAATCCCTCTTATCACTATGCAATCATGTTATTAAACAACTCAAGGATATGACTGCCATCTGTTCTATTTCATCAATCAGACTGAGTAGTCAAAAACAACACTTTGAAGTCCCTCTATTATTCATTCCTCTGACAAACATCACAGTTAACTGCCACTTCAATGCATTTCATGACTGCTTGACAGATTCTCGAAAAATGAACGTGAACGTGACATTTCAAATCAAAGTAGAGACGGCAACTTCCAGTAAGACGTACCCAAATGATTGACTCCCAACTGCATTTCAAAGTTGTCAGCAGTCTTGGAGTAGGGACACATCATGATTCCTGCATTGTTTATCAGGATATTCACTTGTTTCTCCTCTGAAAAAAACATCCCATGAAACACAAAAAGATAAAGTAGAATTAGTATAAAAGAAAAACTGAAAGGAACTGTGTGTGCAATAAGTAAAGATATATAATGGTTAGTTACCTTTGTTAATGAGTTCAGCAAACACTCTGATGGACTTAGTGTCAGATAGATCCAGTTTCCTGATGACCATATTCTCATTTCCTGTGTCTTCCAAAATCTCCGTCCGTGCCTCCTCTGCCCGCTCCAGGTCCCTGCACGCCATGACGATGCGTGCACCTAAAAACAAGGATCACAAGTTATGATAATGTCTTGTTCTCCCTTTTCCACACTTCTTTCTTTCCACAGTCTAAACACTCAATAATTGAGACTACTCTCCACCTGTCAAATTAAAGCAATAGGGTGCAGCATATTACAAATCATGTTGTAACTGCAGCTAACTGTTAGCTAATAACTGGAGCCGGGTCAGCAGGCAACGGAACCCGGCTCAACATCCGAATACAGCCTTCAAGACCAACAGAGACCAGTTTGACCTCAGGGAATACGGGACTGAGGTGATTCACAGTAGCTCCAACCAGGACTCTGAGTCCCTGGACATCAAAGACGCTACGGGTTCAGGCGGGAAAAGGAGAGGCCTGAAGCAGGAGAGGAGGAGGAGGGAGGTCGGGTATCAGAGAGGTAGCAGCAATGTGTAGATCCAGATTATTTTCACATATAATAATATATAAAATAGACCAGAGTCGCTGATCGTGGGAACAGTGAAGAGACTAATGTTGGTTAATTTTTTTATGTTTTAACCTTCTTAAATCTCACACATTAGGTGATAATAGCTATTATACTGTGCTGAATACAAACATGAGTAACATATTAAGGCAAATATTCTACACACAATAAGTTTAAATCCCTCACAGTTTGAACTCCAAACTCCAAAAGATTTGCTCATTTGCAGGCATAAAGCAACCTACGTCAATTAAGAATGAAGTACCTAAATGTGTCTTTGTGCTTTGGATCATCCTCTAATGTTCTCTAAACTCTCATTCAGCAACTCATTTAGCCAACTGCTCTGCTCACACAAACACTAGACCCTCTCAACTGTGTCATTCTCATTCGCCCGTTGACGCAAATTACGATGCATTCTTCTTAATGAGCCCGGAAAGGGGGTTTGAGGACACGTACACACACACTCTCTCTCTCTTTCTCACCCACAGACACATGCAAACATGTATGCATGCCCACACAAACAACACAGACAGACAACTACCCCCACCACACACTCACAGAAACGCACATACACACACATAGAAAGTAGCTGCTGTGCACAACAATTATGGAATAGGAGAGCCATTAATCAGTTGGAGCGTAGCGTCTGCATCCCATCACAGTGTCTTTGTTTCTCCCCTGCTGTTGCCATGTGAGAAAACCCAATTGTTCCTGCATTTCCCTGGAAGCCAAGTTCACTCAATTAAATAAAAGAGTAAACAAACAGTGAGAATGGAAGGTTATACCGAGGCAAGTTAAAGATCATCTAGCAGATGATTACACAGTGTTATGCATGCATAAATAATGACAGTATGCAAATAAGGAAAAATGCAAATAATGACAAGCCTGATCACATTTTGTAAATTCAGACTCAATAATGTGTCCAATTCCCTTTGTCAACATGAAAAATTACCCTAAAAGTGAATGTTATAACCAAATAAATAAATGATTAAAAAAGTTGAGATCCAGTTTGGCTTTCCTGATACAGCACCCCAAGGAACCACCTTCTGTTATGAATCCTTGCTAATCTAATCATGTTGTCATCATGTTATTATATAATCCCATTTACTGAAAGGTGATACATTTTGACAGTGAATTCTCCAGAGGCAAGGAACACAGCATTGTTATTTCCCTCTGGCAATTATGATTTCCTGTCTTTTTTCTGTATTAATGTTGATTTTGCTACAAAAAAAATCTGTTAACACATCAATGGTCAAAAACGTGACTCCTGGCTGCCCTTTGATCTGCAAAATAAAAGCAAATATACACGTGTGAAAATTCTAATTATAATAATGTGAATAACACTAATGCATTTATTTAAAAAAATGGAGATAGATGTCATAATGAGCATTTCAAGTGCAGACGAACAATCACGTATGCAGAATTAGTTTTCATATTACTCACCCTGTGTGTGTGTGCGTGTGTGCGTGTGTTTGCACTGCACCCTCCCATCTCTCTTTGTTGCCTGTCTGGCTTGGGAGGGGAGCAGACCCTCACAATGCTCCCTCTGTCCCCTTGATGCCTCGTCTGTTTTCAATCACTGCCATTTGTCTTTTATTTGGACTAGTGAAAAGTGTTAAGAAAGATGCTTATTTTGGTTAACATAGCCTTAAATCTCTTCTCCGTCTGCCATTTGTCTTGGTCTTCACTTGATCCAGCCTGACATTAGTGGAGGTCTTAGGACGGAGGTCACAGTTAAAGCATCATCATGCTTTATAGCTTTAAACCACCTACATAATAGAAGTGCTTAACTCCATGGAAAGGAGTGGAATGTGTCTGAAAGTAAGTAAAAAGGAAAGAAAAAAGGGAAACCGCAGGGTAGGGACACATCAATGCAACTGAGCCAGACATAGATATAAAGACAAGTGGAGACAGAGAGTCAGCCCCAGCATTACCTCTTCTTGCCAGGTCCCTGGCTGTTTCTTTTCCAATACCAGTGTTGGCTCCGGTGATGATGACTGTTTTCCCATCTAACCTCTCCTCAGATGACCAGCGGTTGCAGCACACACTCCTGAACACAACAAGCAAAGCATCAGTGAAGGACCCCATGAATAGGATTTCCCTTCATAACAAGTAGAGGGATACGTTTCCACTCCCTATTGCTGTTGTTACTGCAGTAATCCACTTCATGTATACACATTGAGTCAGAAATGTACAATTTCCCACAAAAGTGAAGACACTTGGAAATGTGCTAACAGAAAAATCAAACATCCCAAACTTGATGCAAAGATTATGAATGATTTTAGTGACTCTAGACAGTTTTTACATTTAAGCACAGTTTTTTTGCTATATCCTGTACATAATAATAATAGCTGATCTGTAGCCCACTTACATTGCCTGATTACGATTTGAAACTACCTGGTTTATTCCCTACAAGAATAATAATTAAAAGAAAACCTCTCATTCAAAGTCACTGTAACAGGTTTACAGGAGCAAAACAAAAAACAAATTCAACTAAGTTCTCAATTATTCCACATAACAAATCATTTACAAGCAAAAGAAAAACCGAATCGACACAAACAACATATTTCTACACAGGTCTAATCTACTGCCAAATCCGGCTGCGCGGTATAGTGTAATCTCCCTAACATTTCTTAAATTCCTTCTTATTAACAGAGCCAGAACCTGTACCGTTTCTGACCGGCTGTGTGTTTTTTTTTTTTGTTCTTACCTGCAGTACATTCTTCCCCAGAAGAACAACAAATGTCCACCTCAGGAACCAGTGAGCCACTTTGGCAAGAAATGAAATTGCCTCCTCCAGTCCTCCCAACAGTTCATCAGTGGATTTCGTGCTTGTCATCTCTTCCCCACCCCGCCGCCGCGTTTGTCATCGCAATATCACGGCTCGTCCAATCAGGAGCGAGCTGACGCATAATTGATTCACAAGTTCACAAGGATGGGGGGAACAGACGGCTGTCGTCCTGCTGTCGGAGGAGACGCTCAAGTTAATATGAACTAGGCAGTGTGTGACACCGCTGGGCGTCGTGGGGGTGCAGACATTAAAAAAAAAAGAAAAAAGAGTCCGCATAAATATAATGCTTAAGTAGCATAGGGTTATAGCATAACTGTTCATTTTGCTGTAATGTAACAACCATGCTTTTATCATGATGATGGTGCAACATTGCTTCTTGGCCACTTGAGGTCCTCCCAAGTCAAATTTCATCAGGTTGCCAAACTATCCCTAAGAGTTTCAAAATGATCTGAACAGCCTTAAAAAAAGAACACAATCTTGACACAACACTGGAGCTTTTTCTTATTCAGTGACTTAAAAAATAAAACACGAGATCAGCAGTTAATATCAGTCATATTTATTATAAGATGCATCTATCATTTCTTTCTCCAACCTATTTGCATGTCATCCTTCATAAACTTTGTTTTTACAGTATACACAAGTATATTATGCTTGTATTTATATCCTGTTCACCTACTTACACAATTCTTTCAATCCCATACTTGACACTTTCTCCATACAGTTAACCTAGCATCAGCATAATATTTGTAAGTGCTCATAAATATTGCTTTATAGTATGTGGGAGAGCCCATTTAAGTCTGCAAGCTTATCTCCAGCGGATGCCTAGTAGGTGGCAGCTCACGGCCCACAGCTTTAAGGCGGTGCCGTCGTCCTGACCTGCCCAGGAGCTCTCTGCACAGGCACAGTCCCTGTTAGGAAGGGGAAGGAAAGACAGAGTAATTACCTCTTTAGAACATGCTTTAGGATTTTAGTGGCATCTAGCAGGTTGCTTATTGCACCAACTGAATATCCGTCGCCAAGTGATAGGAGAAACTACGGTGGCCAAAAATGTGAACAGCCAGTGTTTGGTTTTCCTGTTCTGCCAGGCTCTGTGGAAGAGGACTAATTCTAAAACCAGAACTTATTTTCAGGTGATTATACACTAATAAAAACATACCTATGAATATTACATTACATTTCTGCCAATATATCCTCCTAAATGTTACACACTGGACCTTTAAAGTTTGAAAATGCCTTTGTTTCTCTTCATGTAATCATTCTCTATTGTGATTGGTACAGAATTAAGGAGGGGAATGATGACCTATATACCTTTATTTACAGTGCATCTCACAAGTGGGGTACATTTTGTACATTCAGTATATGGACCATTAGCTAGCTGAGATTACTTTTATACATAGCTGTGACATAACTGACATATTTATACATCTGGCATCTTTCAAGAAGACTCTGGCACGGGTGTGTACTGCTGAGGAATTTTAGGTAACCCCACCCACCTTCTGTTAATGACTAATACATTCTGCACTATCAAAGAAACACTGACATCTGGTCATTTAAATGTTTGCGGTGGGATGTCTGTTCTCACTTAAGTGGCTTGGTTTAGCTAATTCGAACTGATTGATCACGAGTATCGCTGCTACTGCTATTTCAAACTGACTTGTAATATCCCCCGGTGAGCAGCTGGTTCTCAGGAGTGACGGTGCAGTAGATGTTGGTATAGGCTCCCTCTGCTGGGGTCTTGATCAGAAAACTGAAGGCCTTGGCTATGTCCGCAAGAGGGCGCCTCACGTGCCTTATTATTTCAGTGTTCACTATGCCAGGGTCCACAGAGTAAGCCGTCACACCTAGAACTGTAGGCAAAGGGATGCATTTAGGTACAGAAAATCAATTCTCAGGTTGATGTGGATTCCAACTTTTCAAAATAGGTTGGTTTTCTTATAAAATTTTTGGTTAAATTTGATAGGAAGAAAAGCCTTGACAGCAACCTAACACAGGTCAAACATAAATCAAACAATCAGAATCTATGGCACAATAATCTCTAAGGTTCATACATACAATCCATACATAGTTTCATACAACATGATAATATCTGAATAAAAAAAGGCAATTATCTCTATAGAAACTATGAGATTAATAGTGGGAATAACAAGGTGTGATCAGTGGAGCAATGAATACTTCTTTAACTGTGTTTTCTACAAACATGTTTCTCCTTGCTCTGTTTCTTGCCCAGGGCGGTTGCGGTTGAGGCATGAGACTCTCACACTGGCAAGAGATGCTGATCGATTTTTCATACAAACGGAAAGAGACAAAGAGGCACATAGAGACATACATACAGTACATGATGCATAATCAGTGTCACAGACACACACACATACACACCCTACCCTCAGTTCTTTTGGCCAGCTCTCTGGTGAAAAGGACGTTGGCCAGCTTGCTCTGTGCGTAGGCCCTGACAGGGTGGTAGTCTTTTTCACCGCTCAGGTCATCAAACTGGATCTTGCCCAAGGCGTGGGCTGCCGACGAGACGTTGATGACCCGGGATGGGGCAGAGTGCTTTAGCAAGTCCAGTAACAGAAAGGTCAGGAAGAAGTGACCTGAACAGGGAGAAAGTGGTTGGAAGTAGAAGGTAAGACGGGGAATTTGTTAGTGAGAGAAAATAAAACACAGAAAGAGCAAAGGGAAAATTGGTAAGAAAAGCAACTTTTAAAAGAAATACACAAAAGGCTTAACAGATTGGCTCACTGGTCAGTCACTAAGAGATGAGAACAGAGACACCAAAATGAGCTGGTTGTTCTATTGCTGCATCCTAATACAGGGGCCCATACAAAATTCAATACATTCATTTTAATCAATAAAAGGTCCCCAGATTTCTTTGACACACTCCTGCCATCAACTAAACACAGGGTCAATTCCCCCAAAACGAGTGTATTTGCACACATTTTTAACCTCTTACCCAAGTGATTGACTCCAAACTGCATCTCATATCCATCCACTGTAACGCTGTAAGGGCAAATAGCCACACCTGCATTGTTAATCAGGTAGTGAAGAGCCTTCTCAGCTGGAAAACAAAATATATCTTACCTGCATTACAGTCTTTATGACAAATGTATACAGTATTCTGGAGTCTATGGGTGTTTGTGTGTGTGAGTGTGTGTGCCACCCACTGTTGTAGATACTCTCGGCAAACAGGCATATTGATTTGGTGTCAGCCAGATCCAGTTGCCTGGCGACTACCTTGGCTCCCTTCACCTCCCTCATGATGTCACGAGCAGCTTGCTCTCCTTTTGCCATGTCTCTGCATGCCAAAATCACTCTTGCACCTACAGAGATTAATACCTCTTATTGGTGACTGTGTGTTTGCATGTACATTCATGTTAAAGTTTGAACAAGGCAAGGTGGTGTTGAGCTTTCTTTTAAACACTTATCCTTGCACACTGTATGTTTTAAATCTGTATTTTATTGAAACCAGTTCATATTCTTAACAGTTTAATACCTGAACCACCTCATTATATTATTATAATTATTATTATATTCTTGCATATTACTTTTTATTATTAATAGGCACTCTGAGTCACACAGCAAGAAAGAATAATACAAAGAATCTGTAAGTCATCATGGTACTTATTTGACTGTCTTTAGCTCTGTTTGCTTGCCTCGGCCAGCCAAGTCTTCAGCTGTCTCTTTGCCTATTCCAGTGTTGGCCCCCGTTACTATAGCTGTCTTCCCTTCTAGACGCACATCTGAGGACCACTTGGGGATAATGAGAGACCTGAGGAGTTAGGGTATGAAAGTATAATTGATTAGAGAATTGTTTTTCTTGACAGCAAACATGATAATGTAATATCATTTTAACTGTCAACAGAATAAAAAGAACATTGTAAGAAAACTGAAGGCAATCGAATATTGTTTGTCTAACCTTACGGTAACTGAAATACAAGGTGGGTGAGGTTTACCACCTAAGGCAAAACACTGAATGCCAGAAAACACAGTCATTGTATAAAAGTTAAAAGGCTTTGAACTGACTTGGCAACTTCACCTAACATTTCAGTGTCTGTCTATACTGACACGAAGCAACAATATCCATCCATCTTTTACTCAAAGCATAGTAATTTGTGAATTAAAAATTGGCTTACATTCTGTATACTAAAATCACATTATTAAAAAATATTCTTAAAGAGACAATTCTACTTCTATCTTCTCTTTTTTTCTTGTGATGATATCCTACACGAGAGATGTCTTACCTGAGTGCTTGCATTTTTGTAGTTTGTGACATAAAATTGCAATATCCCTTCTATAATTTGAGTGGCTCCTTATTTCACTGATGATGTCTCAAGACTCGCATCGGAGAGAGGACGACAGAGAAATGAGAGCCAGAGAGGGAAAGACTGACACCCTTATTTGCCCCTAAGATGATTTAGATTGCATTGGGAAGTCACAATTAGACACAAATCCCCCCCTGTTCAAAGTGTGTTATTGTAACTAATCAATTAGACAGACTTTTAAACAGGGTTCCTGGCGAGCAATCACATGACAAGTACTGATGTATAAGCCTAAGTAACAAAGAACTGTTTGTGTATTTGCATAAATTGTATGAACTACTGACTCAGCAGACTCTGAGACTCTTACACAACAAATTGTTGTGATGCAATGTACGTTTTAAGCATCACTGGTGTCTGTCAGTGGTGAAGGAAATATTCAGATCTTTTTACTTGAGTAAAAGTAGCTACCTTGAAGAAAAATACATATTACATATATGAAAAACAAATGTAAAATATTTCTTGTATTGATATATTAACCTGTAAGCAGCATTTTAAGGCCTAAGTGTTACTTAGTGACTTTATATACTTCTTGGTAGTTTCATTTAAGCCGTTTACGCAATTCATCATATTTGCAAGCTCCTAATATTTTCAGCATGCAAAATCGTTATCTGTAAAGTAACAAGAAACTGCGTCTGCTGAGTACCATTGGGGAAAACTTACTAATCTCATAAAAGTGTCTGAAACTGAATACCTGGTTCCGCAGGTGAGACGACTGTAATTTCAGAATTTGACCACTGTGGATTTCCGGGTGCTTTCCACAGGAAGGTCTCAGTTATCACCTAGCTGTAAGTAAGGCTGTTATCCTAACTGCTGATTGGGGCGACAAAGACTGGAGAACAAATGCTGAACCCGGATCCAAAGAGGGTCTTCCTTACCCTTCCTTTTTCATGTATCATGTAAAAAAAAATGTGGTGGTAAATGGGTTGTATGTTTCTGTTCAGACTATCTTGTCAATTTAGGACCTGCCTTTAAAAAAATTGACCAAACAGAGCCACGCCATGTCTTGCACTACTTTAGATATACTTTAGATTTCTTGTCTTTTTGTCATCCGAACATACAGTTACCACTAGGGGGTAGAATGCAGCAACTTGCTACATATCTTCAGTAAAATGAGAGACTGTTTTCTCACACATGGAAGGTTGAAAAAAATAAGCTGAAATCATTTAAATCTACAGTCAGGTTCTGTGTTGGCAGGCCAGCCAGGTCTCATGTAAACCATGTGAAAGCTAGTCATAACTTCCTGTTTTCACAAACAACCATAAAATAAGCCGAGACGAGATGCACACTTATACACACACATACACGCACACGTAAACATACTCCTGCTGACCCAAACCAGGCCTAAATGAGTGCTGCCAGCTCCTCTCATGTGGTCTCTCTGTGACGCTAGCTGGTCTGACTGCTAGATTAGTTTCTCCTCGCAGCTGCTCGCCATCCCCAGGCCTGATGAAAGGCTGCCTGTCTGTCTGTCTGTCAACACGGGGACAAAGACAGAGAGGTCTTGCCACATGTGTAATTATCATTGCTTCACAAAGATTATAGATCATCTTGAGGAGATAAATGGCTCGTTCATTGTAATTTGTCTATCCCAGAATAGGAAAGTTGACAGAGAGAAACCACAGAATGCAGGATAGCAGCCATCCCTGAAAGGATTAGATGCAAAACATATTTAATTTCGATCACAATATTCTTTTAGTCATTCATTGCAATAGGTCTGATTGATATGTACATAATTATTTAAAGGATGCATACATATGGCGAGGTTGTAATTGAACAGGTCCCTTTTAACTCCCTTTTGCTATGCATTTTGACTGCTGTTATTGGCTCCACTTAACACATCCACACCATAAATCAAATGAGTGGAAGCACAAAGAGAATATTCATTCTTATTTCCACAAACATCAAGCTTCTTTTGAAATATATACAAATATTGATCACATATGCATCTTCTGAAATAATACATAAACATTCTACTTTGTGAAATTAATTAAAACTAAATATAAACAGGCTGACATTTTACTTTTCTTCATTAAGCCTTGAACATTAAAACATAATGAAACAAAACAAACCAGTAATAATAAAATAGCTTATCAAATGCATAGCATTTTTTCTTAGAAACAAACTGCACTTGTGGTGCAATAAGAAAAGAGTACAAAAGTCTACATACAGGATAAACAAGCATCGTATCAAAACTGAATGTGTCTCTTTACTGTAAAATAGCTTTTGTTAAACCCTGCAAACCAAACAAAGAGAAGAGAGAAGAAAATTCACTCAGTGAAATGCTTTAGATTCACCACCTTCAACCTTTTTTTTTTTTTACAAACTCTGACTCCACCCTGCCAGCTCTTAATGTAGCAAATCGATTGAATTTTCTACGTTAAAAATATTCCCTTTCATGGCATGATTTTGTGAGCGCAAACTCAGTTATTTCCACATGGTGGATATTTTGTTGTGTAAGGAAACCCTTGATATCATCCAAATGTCAAATTTAGTGGTGTAGAGTCTACAGACTTTAACCTGGGCTATTCAATCATGGAAGGTGGGAAATGAAAAAATGTAGTAAGTCCCTCGTATCAAGACCCGGCTGCAATTTCCATACAAAAATAAAAACATGACGTCCTTTTAGTCTGAACTCCAGTTCCACGTCCAATTCCCAACAAAATTTCCCATCATTGTCTGGAATGGAGGGGGTTTCCATTTGAAAAAGCCTGCAGCTTTCCACTGTAAAATGAAAAAAGGCACTTTAGAGATGCCTGAGGCAAGATTCAGTGACTGATGTGTGAAATAGGAAATATTTCATTGCCTCATTTTAATCAAAAGCTTTCCCTCCCTTGTTCTTGTACGAGAAGCTGGTATGGCAGACAAATTGTGTTGTTGTTTTTTCAGTTATTTGTACATTAATTGGGAGCTAAGATACAAAAGGTGACGTAACCAACAGAAATAACCAGAAGTCATTTTTTACAACTGATGGTTATGGAAATGATCGCTGTACTGACAAATAAACAGCCAATGGGCACTTTTCACTTCCCCAAAGGCCGCTCCTCCATCACTTCCTGGACTGGCAGTGTCTCGTCTTGCATGGTGCAGTGGGAAATGGAGTCCCCTTGTGATCTCAGGCAGCTCTGGAAAAATGGGGCTGTCTCATTAGCCTCTTCCTGGACAGGGCTCCCAAAGGCATCGTCCTGCCCTACCCCGTCGCTGTCTAGAGACGTCTGGCTGACATAGACGACAATGACATCGCCGCTGAAGTTCATCACCTGACCACTGGAGATGAAGGTGGTGTTGTGGCTCCCGGACACCTGACCTGAATGTAGGGAGGGAGGAAAAGAAGAGATTGTGGGAAGTAGAAACACATTTGTCATAGGCAAAAAAAAGCGTTAAAGGAGTGAGAAATCATATTTGTCTGGTACATATTTTAAAGTAAAATACCAACACTTTTAGCCACAGATGGGCTAGTGTGACAAAGGATAGCCCGCTTGAGTGATGACAAATGACTCAACATGTCACACTCTAACTGGTAAAGATGAATGAGAAGTGCAATGACCCTATTGGGAAATGTGTAGCAATACTTATATTCCACCCAATATGCAAGACATATAGCGCTTCCCCTATTCATGATGTAAACCAAGAGGGGACTATATCTTGGCTAACCTCAGATGACAAATGGACAGTGGGTGTAATGACCATGCAGGATGACCACTGAAAGGCCACAGCTACATAGACCATGGCGGTCATATCCTTTCTGCCCTATTTGTTTCAGAGTGTCCAGCACTTTTTAGCGTGAGAAACTCTAGACCTCTGAAAACAAGCCATTTGTCCAGAGTTTAGGGTTTTACAGACATGGCTGAATACATGCTGTTCAACTCTTTCTAACCTTTATTCCGTCTGCCTCAAAATCATTTGTTCGAGCCTCTATCTGCCGATGTCCATGTGCTTTTCCCATATGGATTTCAGCCAACCAGGTGAATTAAGAAATGAACTGTGTTTTTGTTTTGTAAGTCATCTTTCACCACATTAAGCCTCTGGTTCCTATTTTATCCAGCCTCCTGTCTGACTTTCCAGCAGACAGAACCAGTCGACCCTCCGTGACTCACAGCTCATGCCTCATCTATTCACACATTTTTGCACGGACATGCACATACACACACACACACACACACACACATTCACAGTAAATGTAAGCAAACAGGATGAAGCAGACACACATACATATGCTGAAAAGCACACATAGCCCTATAAAGTTGCGAAGGACAGACAAACATGATCACACACTCTGTGTGTCTCTGTGTTCCCCCCTTTTGAGAGCCTTTCCCGGAATACCAGTCTGAGAGGTCTAGTTTGAAAAAATGTCATTTCACCACAACTCTGAAAACAAAGCTCTTTGGAATCTGCTTGGGTTCTTCTGTTTATCCTTTCTTAATACCAAGCTGATTTTTCTGGATGCCCAACCACTGTAGCAATACTGACAGAGGTTTTAAACTAAAGACTAACGTTGAACTCTTGTAGAACCACTATCCCGTTCAATCTCAAAGAAAACCACAATTGTAACACAGTTCGCCTCAAAATCTTATTTTACCTGGACAGCTGCCAGTTTTTAATTCCTCAACCAATAAAATATATCTGGGTCACTATACTATTGAGGTAGCCTCAGGAGGCAGCTGCACTTGCGAGATCATGAAATCACATGAGAATCCATCTTTTAAGGCTTCAGTCTATTGCGTTATGCTAATCAATGTCCTTTGAGGAAGTACTGGCAGCTACTGGAGTGGAAGCTAGGTGTGACGCAGTGAGAAGACGTGTTAGTTAAAGAACAATGGTGGGTCCCATAGAGGTTAGGCTAGATGCTGCTAGCATCAGTTATATCAGAACTGGAGTGTAATGGAACTGAAGGCTTTTCTTGATGGAAAACATGTTGTCGCTCTTCTTCCAATTGGCTTCGCAGAGAGTTTTTGACTACATAATATGGTTTGTTGATCTAATTGTTGAACTTCTCCTGTGAAAGACAGATGATTTATCCAATTACATGCCAAGTATTTTGGTGTCTGCCCTTTTCCAAACAGTTCCCAACAATTTCCCAGATGGTTCTGTGTAACAAACAATCTTATAGTCAGGTTAAACTGTTGCAGTGGAGCTGCTGAGTGGTCAACATATATGACTGATGCTGCATACTGGATGGCTACAATGTTTAAACTATGTGAGGACAGGTGACACCTCTGACCAGGGCCTGACCTTTAAATAGCATGTGCGGGAAGTCCATTTAATTACTTGTCATTACTGCATGATGGGAAATGGTGTTCATGTGAGGCCAGCAAGCATGTAATTAAAGTACCAAGTCATCAGTGAGAGTAAAAAAAAAAAAGCCTTCACAAGTTTGTGTGTGTGTGTGTGTGTTTTTTTTTTTGTTGGGTGGGCAGGGTTATAAAAGTATTACTCAAGCTGCGCACATCTTGCTTCAATTAAAGTTGTGGTCACTTTGCGCAACCCTATGGAACTCTGGGTAAACAGGAGCTTTGTAGATGGCATAGTTCACACTGACACACACACACACACAACTCTATGTTGGAGTGTGCTTCTGGTGGTTCTCTAGCTCATCAAACACACATATCTTATTCCCGCTCCCTGTGTGGTCCCCCCCAAAATTCAGGATCCAACTATCAATACAGGCTTTAATAAAAAAATATTTCTCGGAAACAATCGCATAAACTTCTTATACTTATGCTGAAACCAATCCTGTGTCAGAACTCGTGTTCACCTAATGATACCCCAGTTTGAGCTAACCACTGTCCAGATCAGACTGTTCTGATAATACTCCTTTTATAACTAACCATAACCACTCAGTGTTTGAGGCACAATAAATGTTTCCAGGAGATTTTTCTCTTTGGCAGTGTGTAAAGGTCTCTGTGAGAACAATACAAGTTCAATCATGTGACAGTAAAACTTTCCATTAAAACCAACATATATTTCATTCTGTTATTCTTGGTGGCTAGTCCCACCTATTCTGCGGAAAGAGAACACTGCAATGTAGTGTATCAAATCATGTATGGCTATGACCCAGTGGCAATACAGTGGTGACTGCCTACACAAACAAAGAACACAGAATCCACCTGGCAAACACAACTGTGGTCCCACAGTCTTTGTAATGAGCCATTATCCCCATAGCACACAACCACTGTGCATTCAGTTTTCACTGACATTGTTGAGTGGTCATACCAAAATTATCCAGAAAATATCCAGCTCCACAGCATCTTTGTATTGCCCCCAGGGAGCTGAAAATAGCTTGACTTATTGGGAATCTACACAAGTAGAAGTATGGAAAGCCCATTTCTGCCATGGAAAGAAAAAGTTCAGTAATAATAAAATAAAACCAGTAATAGTAATACTGAAAATAATGAGATACTGAATCTAAATTGTGAGACTGACTTTCCAAGTCAAAATTATGCAGTAAGTCAATCTTCAGATTTTTAGAGGTCCAGCGTGTAACATTTAGAAAGATCTATTGGCAGATGCAATTGAATATAATATTAATAAGCATGTTTCATTAGTGTATAATCACCTGAATATAGGAATTGTTGAATTTCCATTACCTTAGAAAGCCGTTTTTAACTACAGGGGAGAGTGGGTTCCTCCACGGAGGGCGCCATCTTGACCCACCATGTTTCTACAGAAGCCCAGATGAGACATATCAAACACTGGCACTAGATTGGTGCATTTCACGTTTTTCACGAGTTTCACGGCGACCGTAATTTATCCTACACCTTGTCAGTTGAATGTCAGTTCTATTCAAATAGTTGCTATTTGCAACTACACCACTAGATACCACTAAATCCTACACACTGGTCTTTTAAGTGAAAAACAAAAATATATCACTAATATGGCTTTTTAAACTCATTCAGCCCAACTATGGCATTCATTTAGATATCGTAAGTCAAATTAAAAAAGTTTAACTATGACTTTTGTCTTAAAGTTAGTACTCTTGTCAATCCTCCTTTTCATTTATGTTTTTCTTTTTCTGACGGAAATGGGCTTCCATACAGAAGACTTTAAATGTTTACATTTTCACAAACCTGAGGTAAAAGTTGGTTCAGCCAGCTGACTATGGAGGCTCTCAGGTGCGCACTCCAGTCCTGATTCCAGAGAAGAGAGCTTGTTTCCTCTGCTATCCCCGCAGGAAAGTCCCTGGCCTTTCTCCGGGCTCGAGGCATCAGCGGGCTTGTCCAGGTAGAGATCTCCAACCGATGAGGAAATCATCAAGGGGCTGACCGAGGTCATCGCAGAAGTTGTACTATTTTCTGTTGAGGTGGAGTCTGTACTCGCCAGTCTGTATAATTTCTCCTGCTTTACCACTGACCTGTCAGTCAGGTGAAGTGTGAACTCCGGCCTCACCTGAGCCTGGCACAACGGCAGGCAGAGTTCAGGAAGTGGACCGGATGGAGAGATTACAGAGGAGGTGTGGAGGAGTGGAGGAGAGAGAGAGAGGAGAGATGCAACACCTGTCTCACTCTTGGACAAAACCATCTTGTCTGGATTCCCATCATGCTTTTCTCCACCATTGTCTGCCCTTACACTCTCACTTTTCTCCTCATCCCTCTCTCCATCAAACCCGCCACATGAGCAGGTCCCTGGAGTCCCGGGGCTGACAGCTTGGCTACAGTCCTCATTCTCTCCCACTTCCAATGGCTCGTGGATGGGAATGACGCACACACAAGAACCTGCCAAAAGAGGAGACACACTCACGACCTCCTCTTCTTCTGACACCTCCTCAGGTCCTCCAGACCCTTTGCTCTGTTCCTCCATCACCGTCTTCCCCTTGGTGCCTTCTCCCTCTGTCATTTCCCCTGTGATGGGCAGTGAGACCTTGACATCGGGAACAGAGGCGGGGAAGGTGCATGGGGTCTCATCAGTGGGACTGTGGGGTGCTTGGCAGATGAGTTTGGTCGTCTCACATGGTGTACATTTGGGGCCTCCAGGGCCTCCTCCTATTCCTCCTCCTGCTCCACTGTGGTAAAGAGGGGCCAAGGTCTCCTAGCATGACAGAAACAAAGAAAGTAGCATTGTGAAACTGATATTTTTAGCATGAATAGTAAGAAATAAGTGGTTTCCCAAACCCTACACCATGTAGTAATAGACCTAAGTGCTGAATTTGTTTAATTTGATCATATATTTAATAAATAATCTAATATGTAGGTGGGATTACTTTCAATAACTTTGGTTTCTGTGTATTTCCATAGCTTTTTAATGGAAATTCCATTTTACCTGTTGTATCCTTGTCCTTTTCAAATTCTGGACACAGGATCGCAGATTTACTAGAAAAAGAAACAACATATTATACCTTAATACTGAATAAAATGCAGGGACATGACTTCTGGTGAATCCTATGTTCTGCAGCGAGGCTAATAATCAAACATCTATTGTGAAGAGAACTTCAATGTTAATGTGACTGTGAGACCTACCAGAGAGTAATTTCAGTTTGTCCTTGTAGCAGAAAAGAAGCAGGATGAGGAGACACAGAACAGTGATGACTGACAGCACTGAAACTATAGCCCAGGAGGGTGCTGCACCTGCAAAGAGGAGTTCAGAGTATGCTTTTCCACTCTACGTTTTAATGTTGGTCATAAATGTCTGCCAAAAATACAATAATTAAGACAGTATTCTAATATTTTTCCTTGTTTTAATCCTCCAAGTATCAGAAATTATCTGCAATATTTACTGTAAGTAAGTAAGTAAGTAAGTAAGTAAGTAAGTCGATCTTTATTCTGAGCAATTCTTAAATATGCATTAAATTGTCTGTGTCCATGTCTTACCGGAGACAGGCGGTCCACACACTACATCAGCATGAGCGCTACCTGGCTGTATTTCACTCCTGCCCTCAGCCTTACAACTAGAAGAGAGGATGAAATCACAAAAACCCAGAATGAAGAAGAATATTTGTACACATGGACATACTGCATGTTTTTTTTCTTTCCCTCTACATTTTACTCACAAACCCGCCAGCCTTTACAGTTCTAATCTGTAATGACGAACGACAGACAAAAACAAAAACAAAATTTCCTCCCTGTCACTCCAACGTCATCACCATTATCATTTCAGATCCGGCCTGCAGTGGGAGCTGGTGTCTGGTCCAGGGTTCCAGGGTAAGTGGTGTGAGTATTACTCATAACAGCTGGCTGGCGGTGAGACGGAGAACCCAAACGACCAATTTTCCCTTCACAACACTGAAAGATTCCGGGCTAAAAACTGTGTATGTGTGTGTGTGTGTGTGTGTGTGTGTGCTTATATACACTTACTTAGTCCATGGTTTGCATTCTTCGGCACTGTTTTCAGCAGAGAAGAAGCCCTTCTTACATGTGACACAGATCTTCCTTCCATTAGTAGACTCTGGAATTAACAACATACATTGTAGTGCACCTCTCTAATGACACACCACTGCAATTGTTTGATATGAACAAGGTGCGTTTCGTGTTTGTCTCACCAGGGTCTTCCTCGAGTCCATATCCAGCATTGCAGGTAGGTATCCTTTCACAGAACTCACAGTTGATGATATGGCACTGGAAGCCAGGAACGCAGTGACACTGCTCCTCTGCCACTGGGTTGTCAGGCCTCTTCATAAAACCCTTATCTGGAGGTCAAAGGGGGGAGTTGTTTAGTGTTACTCCAAATCCTTGAGAGGAATGATAATGGCTGAATTTGTATATGTGTTGCAGCGTGTGCATAGTTTAGAATTGCCGTTGTTACAGAGGATTTGAAATTATTCTGATAATGATTAAAACTGATGCAGTTTCTTTTTCACATTTTAAGTCCATTTTTCCTGAAGAAAATCACTTCATTGAAATGATACATAGGAGCATTTTCTGTCATGATCAGAGCATTTTTCAATTCTACAAGAGTACCCCAAAATCAATGCAAGAGTAATACCATAAATACTTCGCTCTTTGCTCTCAAATGTAAGCAAACAGCGGCCGACAAAATATTTGGAAACAACAATCTCATATTTAGACTTCTGTATTGTTAAGGCATAAGCATATGTTTTAATGGTTTTTCAGGATTTTGAAGTCCTTGTTCAAGCTGCAGGTACTGACCTGGGTCACAGAACTTCTGCTGAAGACAGCGTTTGTCATCAGTCAAGCCAGGCTGATATTCATCACGATCACATTTGTTACATTTAGTTTGTTCGGAATCAGTGCAGTCAGAAAACACTTTATGGCCTAATGGAAAAAAAGGAAAAGAGAAAAAGAGAGGGAGGGAGAAAAACAGATGGATTTAACAACCCGTACATAATTACAGTAACCACTAAAAACCTAATGGAAGAAGAGAAAAGGAGAAGGAAATTGACAAAATTAGAGCCCTTTTTCTCTTTTGAAGGAATGGGTATGTCTAGTAGATCAAATGTTCCTATAAATTGTGTGTGTATGTGTGGTTGTGAAAACATGTGTATTTCTGAGCCATTTTCTGCCCAAATGTTCCCCTTTTAAACATCCTTCCTCTTTCAATGTATGATCTTTGTGAATGGATATCTATTTTTACTTCATGCTGCTTCCATTGAGAAAACTATGCAATATTCTCACGCAAGTTGTTGTGTGTGTGTGTGTGTGTTATTACCTGGTTTACACTTCTCGCAGCATCTGGAGTTTCTTAAGTAATGTGTTTCTTCACACTGGGGGGATCTGGAGACAGCATTCTAAAAAAAGATATCAAGACATACAATTACAATTGTTATTTGTGTAACTTTTGCTTTTATGTGACAAGAAACAATAGAAGATTACTTTTGCACACATATTTAGAGAAAAAAGGTACAATGTATGTGAGAACTATCATTCTTTCTAAAGATGATTAATTATATCATGATTTGCTTGATCAAAAACATCTATTTCCCATCAATGCTTTACACAGTGAATGCCAGGATTTTCTATGGCAACCCTTCTACAATTCATCTTTCAGTTCCACATGTGATATTTTGAGATGGCAGTGAGTAATGAGAGGAAGAGGATGGTTAAAACATTTCCAAGACATGCCCCGGAATTCTTTCCACACTCTCAGAAGCACCTGACCAGATCACTGTGCGCCCTCCAAACCGGAAAAATAAACCCCAATAGTACCCAGTTATGTAAGGAGAACTACGTGGAACTAAATGAAATCACAATCCAGTTTGCTGGGAATTAATAAACACTACATATATTCTCCTGATCCCCACTGGTGAGCTGTCAAATGAAATCACAATGTTTTGGCAGGATGACCTAGTGGTCAACTTTCCGATTAAGTAAATGGTGAGATTTTGAGGCAGCTGTCATTCCTAAAAGTCTTCTGTTCTAACTTGCAAGTCTCCTGTTGTCATTAAATAGTTCAAGCAATAGCAAGGGACATGGGGGTGAACAGGGCACATTTGTATGTGTTTAAACAATAAATGTGAACTCTAGTAAAAAGGCCACAAAGGTAAGCCATGCAGGCGCACACACACACACACACACACACAGATTCATACTGTACACACCCTCCAGCCACCCTAAGTTAAGGGCTGGTGAACGCCTCGCCACATTGCTGAATTAGAGAATCTGCCTGTTATGACAGAAACTATGCCAAAGCCACAGTGTCTATATATAAATGTAGAAAAATACAACCTATAGGTCTGACTGCATTCTGACCTCTGACTAACCTCATCTTTCTTCTCATTCAGCCCTTCTGGAAGCTCCTTTTCCCAGGAAATTATACACTAATTCAATCATTCATACTGTCATTTTTTACAGTAAAGAAGTGCTGGTGCTGCAGAAGTCCAGTCAGGTGAAATGTGACCAATCCATCTTCCTGCTCTCCCCACCGGCGACATTCATAAGAAGTACATTTGTCTGTCTGTCATCATACCCATCACCAATACCTGTCGTTTCTTTCCCATAGTGCCTCTGTCTGACTGGAACTCACAACAGCCATAGTATTTTATATATCCACATCCACTATGACTGAGCTGATAGAGCTATGATAGATATGTCACCCATCCTAAAACAGTAACATTCTTTTTTATCACCTTTTATTTTTTTTGTTTTATGTAGTGTATACTGGTTCTAACAACAATGCAATACTTGAGGGACCACTGAATTATTTTAAAAACATAAAATAGAAAACATTGTGTTGCCTTTCACATCCTCTTCCCTCATTACTTCTTTCTTTCTCACACCTCCGCGTTAAACTGTCTCAGTGCCTGTCCGGCCTCAGGCTGCAACAGCACAATATGACCACTGCCAAGCGTTTAATTACCTCCACTCAGCCTCTCACACATCAGCCAGTCTTTGTTTTATAATCTAACCAGAGGGATAATGATGCACAGCTCTCATAGCTCGGCCGGCAATGCTAATGAGGACCATGTGCTGCAGCAGACAGAAGTGACAGAAGTAGGAAAGGTTCCCATGCTATGAAGTTCATGTCTTTGTGTAGATAGTTAGAGATAGAAGTGGAGACACAGCTGGGCCAGAGCGCACAGGAAGCCAAAAGAATGCTGGGAATTGTATTTTTCTTACCGCCACATCTAAACATTGGGTCCCAGTTATGCGAGGCCATATGTTTTGACACACTAAATATATATGTAAGAGGAAAAAGAGCTGATCCACCCTATATGATTATAGGTTATCATAACGGTCAAGATGGAACATCCAACCTCAAAACTAATTTTATCTGCTGTATGGATTCAAATATACACTTATGTTTGCCTGTATGTGATCCTAAGAAAAATTGTAAAAGGTAAGACATAGGGGAGGGAAAAGGGAAATAGTCAGATGGTGTTGGCTGCATTAATGGAGAACAGAGACAAAAGAGGCATTAAGTTGCTCCAGAGATATTGAGCAACGGTCCCTTTTTTTTTTAAATCACCTTTTCCAAGAGGTTTTGTTTATCTTTTTAAAATCCTTCACCACTTGTGTGATCCTATCTAACAGGAGTGTGACCCAGAGTGCATTCCATTTGCTGTCAGAATACTAGAGAATTTGCATAACGGCCACAGCAGCCAATGGCACCGTGCCAAGAAAAGCAGAGTGTGACTTTTAGTGCTCCAGGGGTTTCAGCGATCCACGATAAGGTGCTGTAAAAGCAAAATGCACAACAATTGAATCTTTGTATAATGTTAACACCTGCGATTATTTTTTAAAAAGTCATAAAAACAAATCCTTTGAAGTGCCACCTGCAGACATCAGGATATTGACTAGTTTGAAAAAGACCTTACACTCCTGATAAGTAATTTCAAAGTTTGAACCATATGAGTATCTAAACGCCTTAGTGGATAATTACTCAAGTAATAATCAAACACAGTTTGCATTGTCTTGTCTTAATAACTGCTTCTGATTGTATTACTACCCAGTCAATAAATACTGGATATCAAGTGACAGGCGTTGCAGGTTTTTCCTCTGGTGCATATGAGTAAAAGAAGAATGGCTTAATACGGAATAGGAGCTGGGAACGACAGTGATAGCCAACAATCTATGAACAAAAAACTGAAAACGCACAAACCATAGAAACTCAACGACGAGGGAAGAACAGATTCTACAAAGAGTTGTAAAACAAGTCCCTAAGCAAATATAAGCTGTGCTATATGTATTTACTAGACAGAGTTTAATCCGGGTGTGTTAGAGACATACCGAAGCTCTTAAAACAATTATATTTCCTCCTCCTTCCTCCACACAAAGCTCCATTGTCAATACAAGGCAGCATACTTTATCTACCAATTGAATGTCTCTGTTGTCTGCAAAGTTAAATCAAGTTTGGATCTGCAGGCCTCAAGCGATGTTCTGTTATTGCTCAAACCGAAATAGACATAACACTGATTACTGATGTGACGGTGGGACGGACGGATGGATGGATGGATGGATTAAATGAGGATCATTAAAGTGAAAGAGATGGTCAGATCCATGAATACATGGATGGCTAGAGAAGCTGAGCAACAACAATTACAGGAGCCATGTGGGTAGGCAAGTGAATGAATCCCTTAAAACTCAGTTTATTCATGATATATTGACTTTTATGCTCTCGACATCTTGAAGTAATCTTGCATTGCTCAATTTCACGCAGACAGTTTGAAATGAATTTGGAATGGAGTGGATGAAGTGGTTGAGGACCAAGAAAATGAAGGGGAATTCTTTTGGGATACTATGAGTCAGTAATGGCACAACCACGGTGAGAACAAACCAAAGCCAAAGACTTGCAATGTCACTTTAAAACGTAGATGAAAAATGTTTCTTCCCGTGCACTCTGTTTTTCGGGCATTACTTGAACAAATGTGACTTGCATTTAACAGAAAAAAACCATCCTGTGTCTGTGCCATTAATTCTCTGAATCTCAGCATGGACAAGATGCAGTGCCCTCCTCCCTAAGCAGTATCTCTTGCAACACATTTCAATGAAGCATAGAAGGAAAACAGGGAAGAAACAGCGCCTGTTCCAGTCAAAGTCATAATGATGCTGGCTTACGGTAATACAGGAAAACAGGCAGTGATAGATCCCTGGTGCCCAGCAGTCCCACCACTACAACCACATCTTATAAACTACTCCACCTGGACAGAGTTAGCTCCTTGGACTAAACAACAACATGGACAACATGTCATGGGCCATTCACTTTTTTTTTCCTTAAATGAGATCAGCTGAGATATTATGGAGTTTTTATAATGTCAGTGATTTCTTTAGAGCTTTTGAGGTATGGCATTGGTAAAATCCTGATACACAGTGAAACATAATACAATCACATTCCCCCAGTCCTAACCTTTAGGGAATAAAAACATCTTTAGTGTTAAGTGTTTACTCTTCTGAATTCCTGTAAGAGCCTTGTTTGTCCCCTTGCTCCCCACTTTGGAAACCTCTCCTCTGGCAGAGCTAATGAGGTTCCTGATGAGACATTTGGCCCGCGCCGGTCCCCTCTGGACCGGGAGAGAATGCTTGTTGAGAGGAGAACAGCATCCAGCTGCCAGCAGCGTTTTTGCGGTCAGAACAGGGGAGGTGGACTCGACCCAAACACAACTGTTTCCAGTCAGTGTCCGTGCTTAAATAATTCAACCGTACCTCCCTTCCCCTCTTTCCCTATCTGACCAGTTCATACAGATCACCTGATGTGATGACACACATTCTGGTTTACTGTTCCATATCTTCTTGTCCATCTACTTGGAAAAACAAACCATCATGATTTTAACTGTTTTGCATTGCCAGTCATTTGAATAAAATTTGACAGCGACTAAAAAGTAACGAATGGAAGATGGAACAACATACAAAAAAGTAGTTGTTAAATACAACCAGATTTTGTTATCTGGGATATAAAAACCTTCTTTTAAATACCAGAAGTGTGTTTTACCTGTGCGTAAAAGGTGACAAGGACACATGTTATCCAGCCACGGACTATCCAACTTGTAGAAAAGTTCAGTCTCATCTCTGCTGGCTAATAAAAAACTACTTCTAGATGCAAACTTTTCTCTCTCTCAGCCAAAACGACGACTCTTAACACCAAGGTCCGATTCTAAATCACTTTTTCTTGCGTGCGTAACTGTGGCGGGTCCTCCACACCGTCTCACAGGGCATTCTAGCGCCTTCATTCCCGGTTAGCTGCAGCTCCCCACCTCTCTTCTCCTCTCATCTTCCTTCTGCTTTCACCCACGCGTTGTGGAGAAGGCTGCATGCAACAGCTTGTAAAAACTGACTGGCTGGCTGACTGACTGAGGGAGGGAGGGAGGGAACTCCTCCACGTTGTCATGTGTGAGGAAAAAAGTTCACCCCCACCCCCTCCTGGCTCTGTGCACGGATCTCTCACTGTGAATAAATGAGTGTGTATGTGACAGTCAGTGATGTAAGATTATGATGACCCCCACACAGTGCACTGTCACAACATGTTTCTGTCAGCTTTAATGCTTAGCTGTCCAACAGCCTGCAGAATTTATTTTTGAAAGAGTTTATTTTTAAAGAGTTTATCAAGTGGCTCTTGTCACCATTGGCCAAATAAATTGAGTCATGATCTCATACTAGAGATGGATTCAGATATGACCCCACACACTGGAGGCAAAGCATGCGGTCACTTTTCATAGATCTTTCTTCCTGCACTTGCTATTCATCATGGAAGTGAGTGGGCAGCCCAGCGAAGTTCCTGGAGCATGGGTCCAGGAACAGTCATGACCATTTCTACATAATTCATTTACTGCCTCCAGGAAATAGCCGTTTTCTGCTCCCATGTCAGATAGAAAGAAAAAGGACTGGGTGTATTTCCCTCAGAATTTGCATGGCACTCCAAACCCAGCCCACTTTGGCAAGTCATGAGAGGGATGGTTTGAGAGAGTGGGAAATATGTTCCCATCAAGGTGACAGTTATGCAAATATTAAATTACATGTGTGGGGGCCCTGAATGGCTAAAACAAGGGGCTGGTCGGTAGGGAGAGGAGAGGTGAACAAGGAAGAAAAAAATGCAAAAAAATGAATGTTCATTCCTCAATGAGAACAATAGTGATAAAACTGGAAAAAGAGAAAAGAGACAAACATCATTTAGATATTAGTGTGAATGTGGAGCACTTGTTGTCTTTATAAAACTACATGCAAATTATCCTGCATATCCATACATTATGAAAAAAAAACTTGACTAATTATGATTAAAAATAAACAGCAACTGACATTCTATCGAGGCGTGTAGATAGATAAACAACTTTTTAACTCACAGGGAGTTCAATAGCGGGAGAAAGGAGAAAGAGGAAGCATAATGAGGGTTTTAAGCTGAGCCAGTGGAGGTAATGGGCTCTGTCCTCCCTCTCCCCCTCTTCCCGTAAAAACATGCTGAGAGAAGCTGTTTTGTGGTGGGGCCTCTGCAGCTTGCACAGTAGCAATTAAGAGCCAGATTGGACTCTTTTAGCAATTAGAAACCTCAGCTTGACTCTGAACGTACCCCAAATATTCACACCGAGGTCAACCCGTAACAACAAAAACTGAACTGGAAACACAGAGAAGTGCCTGTTAGGCCCGACATCAAACATAGAAGTTACGACGTAGCTTGTTTTGATGTATAAAAATGTAGATGCACTGCAGGCAGACACCACGCTGGTTTACAAGCATCACGCTTCATGTGACCTGGGTCAGAGCATAGACTCTGTAGACCCGTATGCATGTGGGTATGCTTGCTTAACATCACTTAAAACAAGTCAAAAGTTCATGAAGTAGGCCGATTCCAGACAGCTCATATACACGTAAATGCTCACACACACACACACACACACACACACGGCATAAGCTACTGAATGGTTTTCATTAATGCAACACACACTCGTTCCATAGAAGAAAGTAGCCACAGCCTGTTTTGGTACCATGACTTTGGAGGAAGCTTCAAGGGTTCGGCAGTCTCCCTTGAACACACTGAAAAGTACGCAGGGCTGAAAAACATGCGCATGGCAGTCACATACACACAGAACAGAGTGGAATAACAACATTAAGGCTTTAGCCACCATGTTCCGGTGGTTTTAGGGTTGGATCTGTGTTGCTTCTGCTTGCTTTGGAAACAGATGTGATCTGAGTCACCCAAGTCACCAATGTGAGTTAGGGCTGCCTGCTGACGCCATTTCTGCACGAACAAAAGAGAATTTTAATGAACACACAAGCACATAGAGAAATACAGGTTTATGCCCAGATGTGGGTGCAGGTAGCCTACACATATTTGCATGGCGATACAAACCCATGCTGAAAAGCCAAGCGAGGGTCGAGGCGAAGGTTGTTTTGACAGATAAAGAACAAAAACTATTCACTGTGAATGCAAATCACATATCATGCATCTGTCTCTACATACACATATCTACAGACACACAGATACACTGGCACACCCACACAGGAGGGAGGACACACACATACACACAGACTGTCTGTGTGTATGTGTGTTGCCATGCCCCCTAGTTCCACCCCTGCCGTGTATCAATTATTTGTCCACCTGGTGAGTTATCAGTGGGAATGGTTGAATATTAGCTTAAATATGCAAATGCTGTTCTTTATCAAGGGGTGTTCCCTCATGTAATGTTCAACCACTAAATAAGTGCAGATCTATGGGCCTGCCTGACCCATTTCTGTTTTCAACACAAATAAATGTACCGGCTTCCATTAGAGGTCAATCAGAACTGTGCAAAATCTGTCTGTTATTGACAAGACTGAAATTGCACAACACATTTTCCACTACCTTTCTTGTCACTTAGATGGATTGTGCCTTAATTACCCTGTTAAATTCTTGCCCTGTTAAAGGATAGATAGCACGGATTGAGACATAGTGTAATCTTGACGGCAGATCTAAGCTTTTACTTGTGTATTTATTTGGGTTAAGTTGTTAGGAATGCCCCTTAAGATGGACTTTGGTTTGCTGTACCAAGCAGACAATAGACTGCATCAAAGGCTTGGACGCAAAGGGCAGGGATAACAGGAGTGTGTGTTTGTCTGTGAAATGACTTTGTTTTACAGCCTCCAACACCTGTCGACACTTTGAGCCATGAGCCATAATCAAAACTTGGGGTTTTCCTTCAACGTGTGTACGCCGAGAGGTCGGAAAGCATGCAGAGACTAAGAGAGTGAGGTGTCCAGAAGTACATTTAAGTACACAATTGATCTCCATCTTTTATTACACCATGACACCAATTTCAAATATACATAATGAGTACCATCCTCCTCAGTTCAGTGTATGATACAGTTATTTACTGTTTCTTTTAGAGCATATTGAAAAAGAACAACGACAAAAAAATAGAACCAAATACCCACTTTAGAAAAAAAATAGTACAATTATCAGAGACACTGCAACACAGAGAGACAAGATGCAACGGACATTGAGAGAATAATTATGACCAGTGTTCTCTTCAACTACACATTGCCAAAACGGATAAACAAAAAAAAAATCCATTAACAGTAGTGATGTTCATTATGTATAAGACTCTGAATTAAAACAAATATATATATATAATAAAGAACAAAATAGTAAAGTGAAGTGCAAATTTCTTTGGAAGTTGGAATAAGGTGTGTTTTTTCTTCATTAAGACATAAATAAGTTATAAAATAGAAGCTATCAAAACAAAAACCAGAGACAGACTTTGATGAAATAAAGGCAAGACAATTCTTTTTTTATAGTTTCAAGTAGGCGATACTTCTGAGCCGTACAGATACACTGCACAAGGCATTTTAAACGGACTCGGAGCCATTTTGTTGTCTTTTAAGGACAATTATTAAAAAAAATGTTAATGCATCTGTCCACAGATCACACAACCCTTTTCTCCAAAATGGCGTTTAAAATTCGAAATAAAATCCAGCAGTTTGTTTCCTAGAGCTTTGTGAAGCTCTTCTGATTCAAGAAGTACTGCACTGAAATGAAATGAAATTCTGTGATTCTTTCAAGTCCCGAAACATCCAGGAAACAAGTCCCTTGTTATCACTTTGGGTGAATGTCAACACTGTTCAGTTTCGTCCTCTCTCTCTCTCTCTCTCTCTCTCTCTCCTCTTTCTGAAATGACAATGTTAACAACACTGATTCATAAAAGCAAATCCCTAGTCCTCGACAAGGCTTTTGTCACGATTAAGGAGAAGAAAAATGAGCAGAGGGGGAAAACCTCAGCATTAACTGCAAAAAACATTGCGGTTCACCTTTAAAGTGCATGGAGTCCTGCTGCACTGGAGATTTAAAATCAACAACTTTCAGCAAACCTCCTGCTTGAATCGAATAAACAATACACTTGGGTTTTCTTCTACTTTAAGCTGAACCAATGCCTTTTCCAGTAAAATGAAATGCTCCCAAAGACAGCAGGGGGATCGTCAGTTAGTTGCAGTGGTTGCTCGGTCGGTGTTGCGATCACTTCTTTCTCTGGAAGACGTTGGCCAACATGGCGCCGGAGGTGGTTAGCTGACCCATCTTGCTCAAGAACTTGGTCTTTGCATCCTCACCCACCAAACTGGAGGCGATGGACATGGAGCTATGAAAAGAAAACCAAAAAGAAACAGGGTGTAAAGGTAGATTTGGCCCATGTTTTAGCTCTGATTTATTAACATACATGGACTGAAAGAAAAAATGCAGACAAAAAGCAATATCGTACAGAAAAAAACCTGCACAATCTTCCACTATCTGTTTGTTGAACTCATGTCAGCCTTTACCCTACTTCTTTTAGAAGGGAAATGCTGTTTGCCAACACAGCCCCTCCTGATTTTTACAGTCCAACGATTCCTCTAAGTTCCTCTTTTTAGTTAGCTGGGATTCAGTCTGATAGAGTAGAGCAGTTACAACACTCTGCCAAGCTGCTGCATTGCTCAACAAAAGGACAAACATCATATCTTAACACCGACACCAACCTTAAGTCAACGGATATCAGGGAGCCCAGACCCTGACTCAGTTCTTGCGGCATAAAGGCCTCAAATTTCCTGCAAAGTGTTTTAATTTACCACTCTGTGTATTAATTTACTTATCGTACATAGATTATGGGAAGTCCCAATTTGGTACACAATTTCATATACCTTGGAGAAATGTGCATAAGCATGTGAAATGTAGTACACAGAATGCCACTTCAAGAAGTCTTTCTGAGAGCTCACAGCCACCGAATATCAGAGTTTCCAGAATCTTTCATGCCAGGAAGTAAAATGCTTTAAAAGATACATGCTGTGAAAATAACGATCCAAGTTATCAACTATAGTAAAAGGAGTCGAAGA